GCATGTGTGTGTGTGCGTGCAGGCATGTCGGCGTCAACATGTGAGCCGGCCTCTCTTTCCCAACGCTCACACGGCTTAATTATGACGTTACCAAAATGGGCAGTTTGCTCTGACACCCCGCTTGCAGAATCACACAGCGGACAGACTTAAAAGAGCTCATTAGCTCTCTCTAAAGAGCTGTTTACTGCACATACACACACTCACGGTAATAGGCAGCTCTGTTGATGCAGATGGACGCCGTGTGTAATGAGAATGATTATGCTTCTCTATGTCGATACTGGAGGAGAAGACAAAAAAGAAAAAAGTGCTGGCAGACTTGATGCCTCAGAAGGTGGAGAAGAATTTTGTCGGATGTTGTTTAAGTGCACAATCTTTATCTGGTCGTAAATCTGGAAAGAATACAAATATCTCTGGATGAAAAAGAAGAAGATATCCACATAAATACAAAGCGATTCAAGTGCTTTTGGTAATTGGGTCTAACGTTGACATGCACATTCACAAGCAGAATCTGTTTTAGAGATTAGTAAAAGACAAATTTCTTGACCCAATTTTACATCCATCCCCAGATCATGTGCGAAAACGGCTGTAGCGTCATTGAGCTCCTGTAAACCACATTCACAAAACACATTTACTTTAATATTAAAGTTGGGACAAATTAATGTCCATAAGTAATCTTTATCTTTTTCATGTTTTAAATGAGAATGTTTGAGAATGAATGGCCGGCATTCACAGTATTTGATATTTTATATTAACGTCCAAAGAAAAAATATTCTGGTTCTTTGTGTTGATTTCTATCCGACAATGAATTCAAGGACTTTTACGTAACTTCCGAGGTCTTTTCAAAGTGAGTAAAGAAGAGCAGCGTGTACCTCCACTGATATTCCCACCCAGTCGACCCCGCCCATCCCTCTCTGCCACGTTAAGCGACTTTGCTTTGCTCATTGTCCTTGGTTTACATCACATTGAATTAGAGGATCCACCCTGGACGATACCAAAGTCAATCCTCCTCCGTCTCTTCCATATGTTTTTGAGAAGGAGCAGTGAGTTCAAAGCGCTCAGTTCAAAGCATCTGTCCTCATTTGAATAACGTAGAGTAATCGCTATTACCTTATTTAAATAGTGCAAGTTATCATTTGGCCTTCATTTGCATTGCAGGGGTAATCACTGCGTCTCTGCATTAACCTCATTATAGAAGAGATGAAAGCCCTGATGGAGCCTGACACACTCTTTTATATATGTTATCTTTATTAATGATGGAATTAGAAAGATTCATGTTTCTTTAAATGGAGGACATATCAGAGTTTGATGGAGTGTCAAACTCTGGGGAGGGAATAGTGTGTGTGATTCAGCTTGTTGTATTTTGTCACATGTATTTTTTCTACTCTCTCTACCTCGTTTTGCCATTTTCCTCTCCTCCTCCTCCTCCTGGTTCCTCCCTCTCTATTCCTCCCTGAGCAGATTTTTTCTCTTGTTATATTGACTAATAATTGTCTTGCAACAATCTTATTTCAAGATGCATTTTGCAAGAAGAAGGCTGCAGCGACATTGCAATGATTTTTTTAACTAAAGAAACTGCAAAAAAATGGGCCTGTAAAATGAAAAAGACATGTTTTCCCAGTTCGTGTTACTTCTTCATTCATTTATTTTTAATCGCCAAATATATGTAGAAAACAGTGTAATAGTATTTTTACTTTAAGAACCTCTGTCTTTTCTCTTCCTGTAAAACATTTGAGGACTCATCCTGCACTCAAGGGCGTCCAATGATAATACTTTTACAAATTTTCAAAACGTCAATCAATATCCATGGCAATTTTATCTTTAGACACAGAATCAAATAGCAACCTGAATTCCATGTCACAAGGTCTGAAATTGTATTATTCCAGCAAAAAACATTGACAGGGAATCTGAAAAATAGAAAATAAAATCATAGAATATCATAACAGCTAGCTTTAACTCATAGACTGCATATAAATATATACCTATACAGCATGATTTTGACATGATGTTGTGTCATGGTACTGTAACACACTTCTTCAGTCTGTTGGTCTGCACTATTAAAACAGCACTTTGCGATCAAATCAGTATCGGACCAGGTTAAAGTGCTTGACAACGTCACTGTAATTCCTCGATTGACAGTGGAAGGTCAATAATTATGTTACTGAATGGAAGATTCCTCAATGCACCTTTTAAATAACATGTGATGGGGGATACTTCTGCAGCAGAGTCCAGAGACTCACTGTGGACAGAGGCAGTTACACAGCAGCAAACCTTCAAGCCTCCTGTAGATCCTCATGCACACGGGGGAGTGGATTGTAGATTAGCCAGAGAAGGCCGACACTGATGGTTGAAGACACGGCTGAATCCGGCTTAGAGCCTCTGCCATGTGTCGCCCCCCTTGCTCAGGTTTATATAATCTCATGCTGCATTCAGGTACATATAATCTCATGATGTATTCAGTTACATATAATCTCATGCTACATTCAGGTAATCTTATGCTGAGCAGCTAATGGAGAAACAATAAAGCTTGAAAATTCAGTCCTGAGGGAAACCAACATGAGAAGCCCTTAAAAAGGATTTGATTGACAACAACTACAATATTTAGCCAATGTTTTTTTTTTGTTCGTTCCATGTTATGATCATATGTTAATAAGGAAAAGAGACTTCACATAATGTGCCTGTCAGTTATTAGAAATAACTATATTTATTTGGATCAGCACCAAATTGCAAACACTGGATAATACCACTCCCATAAACAAGATTTATTTCATCAAGACCCATAAATTATTCTCAGAGAAATAAATCTTGAAAAATGTCCTTTCTCACAATGTTAAAGAGTTTTGAAGTAATCTGTTCAGTAGTTTTTGTGTAATTCTGCTAAATAACAGAGGAAAACACAATGTCCTGTTTTGGATGCTTACAAACTGATCATTTGAATGTTTCTGAACTAAATGATCAGTTTTTTTATATTTTGTTGCTGTATAGAAATAAAACACAGGCTTTTCACTTTTATGTCTAAATCATAAATATGTATCGTCTGTTCAGACATTTCAACAATTGTTTTTCCAATAAAAACAATGTAATCAGGCTGCTTTTGAGGGATTGTGGTGAAATGTATAATTGACCTAAATCCTAATTTTCTCTTTTTTTGTCCAGTTTTTCCTGACTTGTCATTTTCTCCTTGAAGTGCTGCCCTTATATCATTTCCATATAATATATTCTCAGCTCTAAAGGAGCCTTCCAGCTAATGCGAAACTTCCCTCTGCTCAGTTCTTTGTCTGAGGCGTTCCCCTGCTCACTACACTGGGAGGGTGACAGGCTCGCCAGCCCCTGCTAGACTCCCCTCGGCTAAAATGTTGTAAATTAACACAATTAGCAGATCGCCATTCTGCTAATTAGCCACTGGCGTCTGCCGAGAGATGGCTGGAGAGGAGAATCAGAGAGGAAATAGGAGTCTGGGGATTCCCCCCTCCCTCCTTGTGCTGTTACCAAACAAACACAGGCCCTCGGAGAAGGGAGCATGAGAGTGTGAGAGTGTGAACGAGTGTGTTTGTGCCCTTTTTTGTGCACGTCTGCAGCATAAATGGATGGGAGGAAGGGAAGATTTGCTCCTCTGTGAATGGATTTCATTGTGCAGGCCTGCTTTACTCACACAAAAACACACATAAACCAATTCTGGAGCAGGTATGGCTCACTAGACCCCCAACTGTGGATCTCCACATGCATCCACTGCCATTCAATAAGTCGGAGGAAGCAGCCTAAATGACACCGATATTATCCTTTATTTGTGTGCACTAAGTCAAATCAAACGGGGTTCAATCTGCCATGCGGCTGCTGTGATTACGCCCCGTCCAGCCTTTGATTCACCGCGGCTTTGATAGTGAGACAACGATGGAGTCGCTGTGTGACTCTCAGTGTTTGCAGATGGCATTGGCTGGGATTAAAGGAAACAGTGGCTCTCCAGCCTCCTGAGGCAATAAAGGGGAAAGCCAGGTGAGTGTGTCTGAGATGAGATGGAGCAAGGAAGGAGGGAGGGGAGGAGGTGAGGCAAGCACACAGGGAGTAAATAAAAAAGAGGGGTGGCCGCAAAGAAAGAGCAGAAAGGGAATGAAAAGAAGAGATGTATATCGAAATAGATGGAGTCAGAGTAAAAGGGGGTGAAAGGAAATACAGAGGACGTGGCGGGAGGGGAGGTGGAAAATGGACGACGGAAAAAAGCAAAGGGGAGAGAGTGAGAGGGAAGAGAAGGCAGCAGGGGGGCGTGAAGAAGAGATGCAGACGGAAAGGTAAAGAGAACGGTGGAGAGAAGAGGTCAAGGTGGAGCTGTGCAGACAGGAACTAAGCCGGAGACACAATGTGTTGTAATTCATAGCTCGCTACAGCTCCTGTGTGCGTGCCTGTGTTTGTCCGTCTGGGTCAGTAGATGTGAGCGTGTGCGTGTCAGCACGCTTCAGTGCAGGCATAGATAGTTTTTTATTTGTGTGTTTAAAAAAGGGGTTTTTGTGTGTGTGTTTCTGTTGGATGCACCATGAGCAGATGGGGATGGATGTGCAAGGGTGTGTGTGTGTGTGTGTGTGTGTGTGTGTGTGTGTGTGTGTGTGTGTGTGCTTTGTGGCATACAGCGAAGCACATTTTTCAAACCCGTCTTCAGCCACCTCAGATGAGCCGGGGATTATAGACTGACCCTCGATGCCTCTGTCTTATTGGTCTGGCCGGGGTGCATCAGGCTGCAGTAACCAGCCGTCCCACTGTCCCTCTGTACTGCACCACACCTGCCGACACACATTCTCTATATCTGCAGAAATGAACTATTCCAGTCTCATGATAAATATAAGGAAGCATAATGTTGAATAAATAAAAACAAGCCTCCAGATAATATCACATTTTTAATTGACCGCCCTGCATCCCAGCCAATTTGAAGGTGTTGTCATTTTAATTATTGTTCCAATGATTTTAGCGTGTTGGTGTGTTCACATGTCTGTGTCTCTCGTTCTCTTCGTCAGGGTTAAAGATGCAGTGGACCCCCGAGCACAGCCAGTGGGCCGAACAGCATTTCGACATATCCTCCACCACGCGCTCGCCAGCCCACAAGGCTGAAGCCTACAGGGCGTTGCCTGGCCACCTGCAGCGCTCCACCACCTACCAGTACGCGTGGGCCAATGATGACATTTCAGCCCTCACTGCCTCCAACCTGCTCAAGAAGTATGCTGAGAAGTATTCTGGCATTCTGGAGATGCCGGGCACATATTCTGAGGCCCCAGGAGTGATGAACGGGCGGAAAGGGGAATCAGAGCCCTGGCAGGATGGCGTCTACCCCATGAGCTGCATCCCAGAGGGGGTTTCGGTGAGAAAAGGAGGGGTGGCAGCGGCCTCAGAGGTGGTGTCTGGTATGTGCAGCTCCCCTGGCCTGGCCTCCAGCACTCTGAGCGAGCCCAGCTACTCCAGCAGCAGCTGTGGGAGCCACAGTGCCACTGCCCTTCACTCCTCCTCCATGCCCTCTCAGGAATACGGCCCGGCGTACAGCGGATCCTACTTGCACAGTAGTTACAGCTCCCAGTCTGCCCCTACCCCTGCCCTCCCCTCCCCACTGCACAGTTCTGGGCTCCTGCAGCCACCCCCTCCACCGCCCTCCCACCCCACATTAGTCCCAGCTTACAACGGAGGCTCCCCCAACTTGTCTAGTTATAATTACCCCCCAGCAGGCTACCCAGCTCAGAGCTCAGTCGGGCCGGGATACAGCCCTGGGGGAGCACCCCCCCCCTCCTCATACCTTCCCTCAGGCATCGCTGCACCCACACCACTTCCCCCCTCTTCTACTTTACCTGGATACCCATACCAGAGCCACAACCTGACCCCAATTGCCCCAACCCCTCTCAGCAGTAGCTCCTCTAACTCACTGAAGAGGAAAGCCTTCTACATGACAGGCCAAGGAGAGATAGACTCCTCTTATGCTAACTTCGGTTATGGTCAGTCTCGGAGCTCTGCTGAGAGCCCCATGTACAGGATAGCAGACAGCAGCAGTGCAAATGGAGGCTCTAACAGCAGCAGTGGTGGTGGTTTTGACAGGAGTGCTGAAAAGTCCTCTTTACCTTTTAATCCTCAGAAACAGTCCACGATGTCATCAGAACATAGGAAGTACAGCAGTCAGGGAACAGGTGGGCCACTGACTCCACCGGCCTATGGTTCCTCCACCCTGGGTGGTTCCCGTTCAGCTGACTCCCTTGCCAGCTTCACTTCGCCCTCCCTCAGTGAGCAAAGTGCTGATGACCACCGTCTCCACCTCTCCCACTCAGCACCAGGGCCTACCTCCTCCTCATCCTCGTCCTCCCGGCATGCTGAAGAGCAGCTAAAAACCAGTGACCCTCACCTCCTCGACATGGTGACCTCTGAGATCGTCCAGCAGGGCCCCCCCGTGGATTGGAGTGACATTGCAGGCCTAGAACTGGCCAAGGCATCTCTAAAGGAGGAGGTTCTGTGGCCCATACTTCGCCCGGACATGTTCAGCAGTTTAGGACCAACCCCACGTTGTGTGTTGCTGTTTGGCCCCAGGGGCAGCGGCAGGACGTTGCTGGGTCGCTGCCTGGCCAGCCAGCTGGGGGCACCATTCCTGCAGCTCAGTGGTTCCACGTTGGCCACCAAGTGGTTGGCTGATGGAGAAAAAATTATCCGAGCATCCTTTATGGTGGCACGCTGCCGGCAGCCCTCAGTACTGTTCATTAGTGAGGTTGACATGCTGCTGTCAGCACACCTCAGTGAAGAGAGTCCCATCAACCGACTGAAAGGGGAGCTGCTCGGCCAGCTGGACTCGCTTCTTATGGGTTCCGGTGAGGACGGAGGCAACCAAGTGCTGGTGGTTTGCTCCACAAGTAGACCCCAGGACATGGATGAGGGGCTGCGCAGGTACTTTGCTCGAAGGGTTCTGGTGCCCCTGCCGGATAGCGCAGCCAGACACCAGATTGTGACCCAGCTCCTGGCCCAATCTCAGCACAAATACTGCTTGAGCGAGGAGGAGCTGGCGCTGCTGGTCCAGCGTACAGAGGGCTTCTCCGGACTGGATCTGGCCAGACTCTGCCAAGAGGCCCTTGTAGGTCTGTTACATGTCTCTGCACAGGGCATGGACATGACAGGGATGATGCCCAGGGGACAGATCAGGCCCCTCACCTACCAGGACTTTGAGAGTGTCTTTTGTAAATTCCAGGCCAGTATATCGCAGAAAGAGATTGACACGTACACTGAGTGGAACAAAATGTTTGGCTGCAGCCAGTGAAAAGATAGATTCCGCCCTTGAGAAAATGAGGCATCCACAATTCCTTTCCGCAGGGCAGATGTATTGTGCTGGAGGAAGAGGCATGTAGGCCAACACAAGCCCACCGAGTTCTCCCAAACAGGGTTGAGACGCTCCAAGAGACCTGATGTGATGAGACAACTGGCAGTTTTGTGGTTAATGAACAAGTTTTAATTTGAATGCTTGACACCCCAGAAGGCCAGGCATTGTTTACGCAATGCAAGCGAGTTGTCTCCAGAAGAAAGATGCCCCAGTGTCTGTATATATATAGTTATGTTCTTGTTCTTGGAGTTTTGTTTGGCGATCCAAGTGCCTGGAGTGGTGCTTTCTGATTTCCTTTCTTTATTGGCCTCACAATCTACATTCATGGCATGAGCTGATGATTATTAAGAGCTTTAACACTTCAGCAGTGAGTCTGAACAACAGAGATTGACAGTTGCCATTGCTGGTGGTCAATCATTCTTTATTGTCTTGCTAAGAGCAGTAATCCATCAGAACGGCAGTCGTCTGGGCTCACACTCATCTCTTCTGATCCTTTGTCTGCAAAACAAACAAACGTTACAAACAAAACTCAGGAAAGCGTTTGTGAATTGTACAGTACCTCGAGTTATCTTGACGAAAAGCACTAAGATCCGAGAGGGGAATCCACCGCGGTTTAGCAGTTTATGTCTTGCGAAGCAGTGTTATGTGTACCTCAGCTGGCTAGGATAAATAGCAAAGAGATGACAATGAATGTACTAGATATGTTCTGGATTGACATAATCGACACTGAGAGTAAAATCATAATTTCTTTCCGATTTTTCCCTCCCAGCAGCTGCTTTCGTTTCCTGTTTCTTCTCGACCAGTCCTGAAATTTTAAAACAGTGTTACCCCACCTTCTTGTTCGGGGGTTTTAAGAGACGAGCAGGTTTTTGAGGGTGGTGGGAGTTGTATATTTATCAAAACACCCATAATCATCATTGTTTGTAATATGTGAGCTAGATGTTATGGTGGGGCTGCATAGGGGGTTCAGTCAGTCAGCTAACTTCTGCACAAAATACCTCAAATAGCTCATTTGACACGTGGTTTATCAGAGGACGATGGAGAAACCTGATAAAAAAACACCTCCAGATGAACTAAAGGAATAGTTTGAGGAATATGCTCTTTTGCTTTCTTGCCTATAAAATTAAATGATAAGGTTGTTACTACTTTATCCTCTGTATTTCTTCTATAAAAAAGAAAACTCAAATCCACCTTTGAAAGTTTATTTTGTTTTTGTTCTGTACCAATACTTAAAGATAAAACAAAATACGACAATCTGTACTGGATAAGGGGATTAAATGCCACTAAGCTACAGGCTGCTGTTTGTTGCATTACATTTAAAGGACATATAAGAGTTGTATAAACTTTTTCATCTATTTCTCAACAAGAAAGTAAAAAGTATTTCCTAAAATGTCCAGCTGTTCTTAAGAATCAAACTAAATTCAAACTCTATTCTGATTTTCATGTTTATGATGATATGATTGATAATAAAGATTTTGGATCCAGAAGTTATATCCTCTAAAAAGTACTTCTTTGTTTTGGTATATTATGACCTTTGTCTTACTAAATTACAGCTTTGTTCTTGTAATATCATGACATTGTTCTCGAAATCTCAGCCCTCAATATGGCCCTAATACGCCATCATTCATTTTGTATTGTTTTCAGTCAGAAATGCTTTATTGGACAAAATTATCCTCAAGCAACTCTGCAACTCTGCAACTCAAACCTGCATCAAGTGAGCTTTTGAAAGGTATCTAGTCATGAAAGTATGTGTTATGCAGAGGTGCTCGTTACTCACACTGATTATCTGTACTTGAATTGGATTGGTTATAGAATGGGATACCACTCCTGTTATTTCAATCACACATCTAGTGCATATCCCTCATGTCTATAATTTTCTAAGTGTGGAAAATAGAAAATCAATAGTAAATTACTGTTTTTGCCAGAGGTCAAGAGGTCATTTGATCATAGCAATTTTCACTGACTGATATTTCCGCAGTGCATTTAGTATTATTATTGTCACAGCCATGTTATTGTCCTCCCAGGAGGTATAGACACAGTTAGCACAACAGTTTGAAAACATTAATCAAAGAATGTTTTATCCAGAATGAAGGCACCAGACTAACTAATCCAACTCATGTAAGTTTGCTGTCAGTTTTCTCACTATATTTACACAGATGACATAAGAGCACATAATCTAAGTGCATTTTCAGTTCACTAAAAGGCTTTGTAACATGAGTGGGTCATTTTTGGCACTAGCCTTTAAGTCCTTCATCCCTGAAGGTTATCTATTGCCCATTGTATTGCATCGGAATGTATTTTTGTCTCCTCCTTGTCTAAGAAACTGTCCTTGAGCTCTTGTGGCATGGGAGTAATTATAATAGTTTATCGTATGTGCACTAAATGAGTTTTCGTGTAATATTGAAATGTCTCGACGTCTCACTGGCAGCACTTGCTTTTTGTTTTTTTCCTGAAAGAGATTCTGTTTATCCGAACCATTGATCAGCTTTGTGCATCTATTTTATTTTAAATATCGCTGTCTAACTAGCCACATAGAGTGAACATGTGCACAGGCCCACTCTGCCTTTGCTATCTCTGGTATGAGCATCGTCAGTGCTGCACCTGATGTGTGGGGGGGAAGAAAATAATAAGTTCTGCTGAGCGTCAGCAGAATTGACGGAAAGGAAAGACAGCCAGGCAGCGTGGCGGCAGCACAAGGGGAAAGCAGAGTGGTCCGTCAGAAAACCACCCTCAAAACAATCTGTTCCAGAATTCCTTCTGTCAGCAAATCCTCTGGAGAGACAGTCCCTTCAGACAGAAAAAACGACTAATGCACTTCAGAGCACACAACAGCAGCACAGGCGTTCTCTTCCAGCCCGCAGCAGACGAGCAGACCACTCCAAACACACCGGCCAACGCTACGCTTGTTTGCTCCGTGTTTTGTGGTCAGTTTAAATCCAGCTCTTATTCTTTTTTTTGTTACTTTTTGGAAAAACCCTTTCCTCATACGGACGCTAGAGTTCTTTGAAGCATTTCTACCTCATGGCTACAAAACACGCGTGGTATTTGATTTACATCTTTCCAAATGTCGGACATTTGTGAAAAATGCATCGAGAAAATAAACAAAAGAAAAAAAAGCGAAGTGGAGAGAGTAACACCATGAAGTTTTTGCGCAGTCTACCTCAGATGACTGTACTTAAAACAAATAGGTGATGGTGCAACCGCAGGCTGCAGCATAGCCAAGTATGCGCCTGTATGTGTGTGTGACAACACTGAAACACATGGCGACAACACTGAAACACACTCACAAGTGATTTGTGAGGAACACTCGGGGTCGACTTCATGGTGACCCCAGAAATGTATAATCCAGTACATTTGCTTTAATCTTTTGTGAACTACTGTTGTTGTGCGCGTGTGAATGTGTATATACGTGGGCACACTCTTTTCTTTATTTTGTATTATTTAGTGTGTTGAATTTTATAAATTGTTAGTATATATAACACACTTGCACAACTTTAAACCAGAGTGTAACGTGTTTCTGTTGTACATACCTATACATACAATACAAATGCACCACTTGTTTATATGTGTGAATATGTTGCCATACTTGCAGTCGACTTAAATGTATTTTCATGTAATCTGAGGTACAAGCAGCAACAAACGATTCATTAAAGACATTTTCTTGGGAGATTATATCTTGTACATCTTGTTTTTTTTCAATGTCAACGGTCACATTTAGGTTCTTGGGGGGACAGACAGCGTAAAAGATGAATAACTGAATTTATTTATCAGTAAGAATAAATGTATTGTCCTGCCAAAAAATAGCCCATCTGAAAAATCGCCGTAATGAGCCTTGAGTTAGTCACCCTTGTGTGCAATTATAAAATCATCCGTGTTGCGCAGGAAGCCGGCGCTGTCGCTCCGCTCATTAAAATGTAACAATTCATTTCTCTTGCTGTGGTACGAGTGGCAAGACAAAAACATTAAAGCATTAATTATCCCTCTCCATCAAAAAGAATTTGGATTATGTGAGTACTCTTAATGAAATTGATGTGCATTTGCCCGCTGCATTTCCAAGGTATATGATTATATACAGTGTGTGGCGGCGAGGTGTGGGAAGCCGGCTGTATAGCCTCTATAATTATCTGTGAAAACTCAAAAACGATTCGCAGCAGGTTAGAGTGCATCGCAGGGGCTGCTGCCGTCTTTATTTTCCCACTCTGAGACATGCTATAGTTATGATCACTGATAATTTATGACACAAGTTTTTTTTTTTGTTAAATGTAGTTTCTTCTTCCAGATATGTACATTTCACTGCAGTTTTCTTGATCCATGCTTTATAAGCATCACTGGATTCCTCTCAAAAGCTGGAGACGGTTTTCTTTCATCAATAAACCAACTGGCGAGTTTTTAATCCAGACTTTCAGGTTTAGTCTGTAGCTTTATTATATAATTGCAATGTTTACATGCTTTCGTGTGATAAGGTGTGTACAATGTCCTCTTCACTTTAAAGGGCCCTCGCTCCATAAGCTTCTCCTCACACCTCTGCTCACAATTAAAATATGCTAAGCGATCACTTTTTTTCCTTAAGTAGTCTTAAATGTGCAATCTATTCAAATATGAGAGGAAATTGCCCAGAGCTCCGCAGAAAAAGGTGGTTGAACAGGGGGGAAAAGCTGGAATAAATTATGCAAATAACACAAAGGACTTTACCACTTGAAAGCCTAATTTTCCTATAATCAGCACACTGTCGCCTAATATTTTTTTCCCACCTCTTATTAAAAGTGACTGTTCTTTCGCCGATCATCAGATGGCTCTGTCTGTCACTGGACTGTGAAATGACTGCAGCCTGCCAGACTAAATGCTAAAGCATTTTGCCGGAGCTTTTAGATGATGGTTACATTCCCACACAAGTAATTATGCGCCGCAGAGTCCAGAAATAAGGTTTAATTATACAGTAATCGTCTGTGATGGACACTAGGAAGTGGTGAGTACCGCCAGACTGCAATCCATCAATGACAAACCTCTGGCCAGTTTTAATTCCTCCTCATTTGCATCCTAACCTCCACACCAAGTTGCGCAAATGCTGTTAAATGTTAATAGGACCTGTCTCGCCACTCAAAATGAACGCTAAAGCCATTTTTTAGTGGCTCCCCCTCCCTCCCTCGCTCTCCTCTCTCCCTTTTGTTTCATCTCTTTATCTACTAACCCGCTCCTTTCTTTTTCATTCCTCTCCAAAGCTGAGCCATCTTCATGCCATCCTCTGCTTTCCCGTCATCCTCTCCTCCAATCTCTCACCCGGTGCGGCCCCCTCCTCCCTCCCTTCCCATCCTCACAGGCCTCACTGTGGAGGAGGCACAGAGCGGTCACTGATGCACTAATTGGGAGCAACACTTACAGTTTTATCTCCCCACACCACTAATAGCGGCCTGCACTGAAGCAACTCACCTCAGGATGAGGAATGGATGGATGGAGTTGGAGGTATAGGAGGTGGTGGAGGGGGGGTGGTTGAGGGCCTTGAATGAGAAATTCCTCTGTGCAGACCGCAGCGGAGACTCAGTTTGAGATTGGGCCCTCAAGCCATCATGGTAAATCCATATCCCGCAGGACCTCGGACTCAATTCCCTGCTTCATTAATTGAAAACGATGGCCTTTTTTTGGTGTGAGTGAATAAAACAAGGAGCCATTTACGGGGGAAAAAAGCATTTTGTCTGATTTTGCTCCTGAAGTAGCTGCAATCTCATTATGCCTCTGTGCTGCATTTAAAATGTGCTATCATCTTTGTCTTGATTGTCTCCCAGTGTCGGCAGAGATAAATACACGCACTGCTTTGCTGTGCTGATGCCAGGACTGTTTTTCATTGAATCATTTAAAGTCTTATCAGCCTTTATGGAAATAAAGCCTTTGCTTGATAAAGTGTTCCACAGACTTAGGGAGAGTAGCACATAAACACCTTTTTTTCTCCCGACAACGCCATCATTAGCGCATCTTGTTCAATGCTTTACACATAATTGGAATCAACATCCATTGTTCGTGTTCTTGACCTTCCACTTGTTTTCCAGCAGACGCTCAGAAACATTGTATTACTGCTGAGAGGGAATCTTAACTAGGAGAACACATGCTAAGTGCCTTTGCTTTGTTTTATCAGGGGCACATTGCTTCACTTTGAATATAACTTAAAAACTCATACCATGATTTAAAGATAGAAATCTCAATGTGATGCCGTGTATTCCAACATAAAATTGAAATTAATCACATTTTCTATTTTCACGATATTGTCTCCTAATGTGCAACCAAACATGTCAACAAGACCTGAAATTGGTTCCAGTGGTAAAAAAAAATGTTTCATAGGTAATTCAGCGAAATGTTCTTAAGTGAAAATATAGGAAATAGACTCAATAAC